TAATAATAATAATAATAATAATAATAAAATAATAAAAGTTTTTATTGTTTTCAATTCAGTCTAAATGTCAAAATGTTATACATGTGGTCCACAGGCCAACGGCACCCACTTCATCTATAGTAACTTTATTCTGGGGACACCGAGGTCAGAAGGCCTCATCAGCAGAGATAAAATCCTTAAGCTTCCTTTCAGCTGTGTTTATCCTCAAACACAAACACTTTCCATGAATGTGGAAATCAACCCACTGGAGAGGTGCGAGTCAAATATAAATTCTGATTCCAGCTGTGCTATTTTATTAAAGGAGTAGCATTTTAGCCATTAATCAGAGTAGATTTAACACAGGTCTATCCATTATTTCAACAGTGTTGTGCACAGGACTCTTCCCGCTGGTGAAGGCAATAAAAAAATATATATATTTTACTTTTAAAACTAAGTCATTTTAAAATGGATCTGTCCATTATTTTAACAGCATTGTGCACAAGACGCTCCCCGCTGGTGAAGGCAGATATCAGGTTCGGATGATTCCATATGAGGATGATGAGTTTACCCGGCCCTTCACTGGTAAAGTGGATGCAGAGCTCGACCAGAAGATGAATGTGGAAGTTCGTGTCGAGGGGGTTGACAGCCGCCAGTTTGCCCTGGTGATGGAGACGTGTTGGGCTACACCTGTGAATGATCCTGATCACAGTCTCCGCTGGGATCTCATCGTCAGAGAGTAAAGCAATGTTGTTTTATCTATTCTTTAAAGCTCTTAACTCACTAACATTTAAAAAAAATAAAATGTGAAAATAAAAAAATGCGCATAGACTGAATAAATAATATGCCATATCCCTTTAGGATGACCTCACATATTATCTTTCAGTATTGCTGTACTAATGCAAAGAATTCCATTTATTTATTGTACATAGAATGCAAATGTGTGATGATTTACAGGAAATCACTTTTGAGTTGAATGCCTTTCAAGTTAACAATTTGATTTGTTGATTGTCAATATTCTCAGGTGTCCCAATCCAAATGACGACACAGTGGAGCTGCTGCAGAACGGCGTCTCGACATCCAGCCGTTTCTCCTTCAGGATGTTTATCTTCACTGCAAACTCCCCTAAGCTTTCCCGGCACTGCGCTGTTCACCTGTGCCTTCTGTCAAGCAATCGCTGCTCAACTGTGAGTTTACAAAACCTCTCATAATTAGTAAAACTGTTATTATAATATGTTTCTCTGTATAGGACTAATGTATTGAATGCATCTCGTAAAATGTAATGGTTCAATTGTAAGGATTTAAGAATTTACCATTGATAAACCCCTGTTGATCAAACATTAAAAATTGAAGGAAAATGTTACCCTTAATGTCCATGGTGGTAAGGTTTGTCGTCTGTTGGACACTTTGTGCACTCCTTTATGTTTCATGTTTGTCCTTTATGTTTCATGTTTGTTCAATGATATTTATCAGGGATTCACACAGCTGGATTTTCTCTTTTCTCTTTTAGGACTGTAACTCTGAACACCACTGGAGAGAGCACAGGTCTCTGGACTTCCATGACAGTGCTTCCATATCCATGGGTCCTCTGATGTTGTCTGAAGGGAACACAGGTGAACATTTCATTTATTTTAATCATTTGTAAATGAAGGTTTCTGTTGATTTCTGCTGGCAATGCATTACATTTCATTGCATCATATTTCCTGTTCACAGATGAGTGGATCCCAGAGAAAGTGAAGGCATCTGAGGCTTCTCATCTCTGTGGTTCTCTGATGCTGTTGCTTGTTCCTCTGATGAGTTTCCTGACCCTACTTTAATGTTTTTCTTCAAATATAATGTAATCTTTTATATGCATAATTTCTAATGCCATTTTAATGAATATTTGAGTGTTTGTAAATTTCTCCTTGTCATAAATGTTCTTTTATTTTCCATTATCAGTTATTTAATCATTTATGTGGATTGTTCTATACTAAATTAATTGTATTTTACTTCAGAGGTTGTGCTACATTACCAAAGACCATCATATTCTTGTTTATTCTTGCTTAATCATGCAAAAACATTAAAAAGTCATTCCTGTTCTGCAGTTGCTTTTCAATTCTCCAACTTTTTATAAAAATTGGGCAGCAGAATTTTAGAGATAACAAACCTGAAATATGTTATGTTGTGATCAGTGTCAGACTTTGTTGGCACCCTAGTCGAAATTTTAGAAACACTGAAATACTGGCAGCACTCAATTGGACAGATTAAATTAATATTATAAACATAAATATAACGTACAAAAAAATGTATTGCAATAATGAAAAATTTGACAAACAACCTGTTCCAAATTACTTTCTAATTAAGTACA